TTTCAATATCTTCAGATAAATTTCCCCATCAAAAAGCGAAATTCCCAAGTTTTAAGTGACACTTTTTCTTGCTCGAAACCAAAATACTTAAAATCAGAAAACAAACTGGTTGAGAAAGCACCTGAAATATTGTCCTGAAACACCCGAAACGTGCTTCGACAATGCGACATAGAGTGGCGTTTGGGCACCATCTTTTGGTGTCTTCAGTATGAACCATCTGTAAGATACAATAATATTATCAAAACTAAATTATTCACATAACAACTACCAGTAAACCTGTATAAAGAAAATATAAAACACAAAAAACGAAGCAAAACCATACGCAAACGGTGCCAATAGAACGTTGAGAGGTTTTCTAGCCAACGGTGTGTATCGCACCAAACGAGTATAGCAAAGTCCTGGATGACAGGCGTTAATCGTTACACTTGACGCTTCTTCGGCTCGTAGACGTTTCGTTAGTTCATGTGCATGCATCACCTTAAAATTACCACATCTCAACTGAACATTTCATTTCTCGCACATACGAACCACCATACAATTTTACTTAAGAGAAATGCAATTTTACACAAAACGCTTAGCCTAATCAGTGCTTGAAGTTCCTAGAGTGAACTCAATAAAACAATGATAACCGCAAAAAAAGATAATATCATAACTTCACAAGATTAAAATCTTTCTCTACACTGATAGATAGACGTCACTTACTTATTGTGATGGAAAATCTAAATTTGATATATAGAGATAAGAGATCTATCTACGTGCGATCTTGTTTGAGTAGCAGTTACTGATGGAATGATGAATAAATTAATGAACTGTTCACGAGGAAACTAGCAGCCGAAATGAATAGAACACAACGAACGTAATAAATACCAGGGCAAGTTTTGACTTCGCATACGACTGCCTTGAATCCCATCCGTAACGTCGATCGATGGTCTCCAAATCTATTGGATCCGAATAGAAATGCGCCAGTGCCGAGACGTTCACAATCCGCGCGGCTGGTGCGGCTTTTAGAAGAGGTTTGAGAAGTTCAGTAAGCATGAAATGACCTGGGAATTGATTCCATTCAAACTCATCAATAAAACTTTTAAACTGCCGAATTTACTAATTGAAACTACTCGATTCTGTTGACTGAAATTAAAAAGAGAGAAAAAGAAACGAACCCAAATAATTGGTTTGCCAAACCAATTCGTGCCCATCGTCGGTTAACTTAAATTTCGGATACATCATAACCGCTGCGTTATTCACCAATATGTCCAATTTGCTCTCTTCTATAACAACAATATTGCTGATCAGAAAATTTCTGAAGACCAATAAAAAGGATACGACTTAATTATATCAGAATTTTACCATAAAATATTCTCTTTAATTCTTCGTACATTCCCATAAACCGTCAAGATACTTTTGAGATTTATCCACAAATTATTGATAACTGTCGCGACTGCGACTCTTCCCTCTCTCACTCATTGCAGAATAACTCCTTCTTCACAATGAAAATTTTTCAACGTCTCAGAGATCATTTGCTGAACGACATCGTTCGTGTTGCTTCAAAAAACTAATATAAAATTCAAAAAAAATCCAAACCAACCCGCAATAATCTGTTTGGCTGCGTTACGAATTGTTGAAAATTTCGTCAAGTCCATGAGCACAATGATCAAACGATCTGGAGAGCATCCCAACTGAAACAATTTTCCTAATCCCCAAAGAAAATCACCTTAATCAATTGCGATGAGAATTGTAAAATAATTTTTCTCAACAAATCAACGCATTCAAACGAAATAACAAAAATTTTACTCAAGAATATTAATCATGAATACCTTAACAAGTTCAATTTGTGCTGTCTGTGCTTTCTCCTCATTTCGACAAAGCATATACACCTTTGCGCCTCGCAAGTTCAACTCTCGCACGATCTGCTTGCCAATTCCACAGTCACAACCGGTCACGGCAGCCACGAAAGTTTTCGCTGAAGCACGTTCCTTGAATTGTGCACCTTTGAAGTAATATCTGAAATTGTTATAAATTTTACTAATGATCCATTTTTGCAATCACTATTTGCTAGTAATCATATGAAATATATCAGATTTCATCTTACATATATATCGAGTAAGCCAATATCATTAAAAACTTTTCCAGTAGTCCTATCATTACATTTCGACTGAATTTTGAACGGTATCTTCGACTGACCTAAATGCAATTGTGATGGCAACGACTGCGATAATTTTCCAATCAATGAACAACTCCAAAACATCGATTATTTCCATTCTTTCCGGTAGATTCTATTTCACCGTATACCTGAAAGTACCTCTTATTACATCTCTTGGAACTCTTCACTTGCGATTACCATCAGTAAGATAACTTCTATGGCCACATGTAGCTGTTTCGTCTGTAAATATAAGACCCTTCTGTAGATATAAGTTCTGTATTTCATCTTTAAAGTTCCGTATTCCATTCGAAACAACTTCAGTGCCGTCAAATTCTTGCGAACACCAAACCAATTAC